AGTGAGCAGCAACATCAGACGAGTAACTTGGGAGGAGTTACTATTCACAACTGCTGTTTAAAAGTGGATAATTTATGGCTGGGATTATAGGATAGTATTTTTGGGGTTTTGTGGAGTATTTTTGGTTTTGGTTGTGAACAATGTAGGGAAATATCTTTTTAAGATTTCAAAATTAATGAAAATGCTTCTTTAATTATATTTTGAGTGCAAACCACTTATTTCTAAATAATTGTTATACTGCAAAAATACCTGTAGGCATCCATTAGCTTGAAAATTGCCCTGCTACGTCTAATAAAGCCATATGACAGGGAAAATCTCTGGTGCCATGAACTTAATTTTGGTAATTTTACAGTGACATAAAGTATGCAGTGGTGTCTTTCTTAGGAGCCTGGGACAACCTGATCTTTAAAATACTAGAATCCAACTCAGAAATAACAGATGGAAATAATAAATAGCAGGCATTGTCTTAAGCACTTGATTACCAGTTAAAACCTCTGTAATAGGAGTATGCAATATAGCATTTGGATTATTTTTCAAACATGTTGCGAAGCCTTGGAAAAGTCAAAAATACTCTGAGTAGGCTTCTTGCTGGTATGATGCTGGTTTTCCATAGGCACTGCACAGTAGAAAATTGTTTTAGTCACATTTCTAAGTAACAAGCTATTCAAGTTCCTTGTCTGAATTAGTCATCCTGGAGTTCAGTGGTTATGAGGGGTTTCCTGACCCAGAATGCTCAATGATTTAAGGGTGAGGGAAGACTCATGAGATCTGTGGTGGCACAGGAGAATGTTTGGCATGAGTGCTGTGAGTTTTAGGGCAGTAGTTTAGATGTGACAGCCATCTGGTCATTTTGTTTCTTTGTTTTTAATGAGAAATATGAAAACACTTGGAGGTGGTTTTTGAAAGAGGGTGCTGCTTCATGGAGCTCTCCCAACCCCAAGGTCAAGAGAAAAGAAGTTCAGAGATGAAAATAGAAGAGTTCACCAGAACTTTAACCTCATCTACATCCTGATTAGTAATTTTAGAATTATGACCTTGACCAGTGAGGGTCTTGAAGTAGAGAGTGAAGTGGATGCTGCTCAGGAAGTGAGATGGGGAAGGACTTGTGTGATCTGGCTGTAGGCTAAAAGTGTCGAGAGAGGAATGTTCATAAAGCTCAATCCTGGATCTTGAAAGATGAGGAAGATTTCCTCACTATTTCATGTGGAGGTCACATGATAGAATTTCAGCTACTAGAGGGAAATCTTAGTGATGCGTTGGGCATTGCTAGGATCTCAACAGCAGGTTATTTCTAGGACCTCTAGAGGACAAGCTAGGTTGGAGAGCTAATGCTTAGTTACGTTCAGGACTTGCAGTAGTGGGAAGGAGACTGAAGCAGTGGTGGAATGAGTGTGACCTGTGTGTTTGTGCTGAGACTGAGCTGATTGTGAGGCAGCAGTGTGGGGAAAGAGACTCAGGCTGGGGTGTTGACTTGGACAAGCACAGGAGAGAGGGAGTAGGAAGAATATTTCTGCTTCATGGTTGAATCTGAATCCTGGCCCTGGACTGAGTGAAGACAATAGGAAAGGGATGCAAGAGCAGAGCCTAGGAAATGATTAATAAAATAATACAGGTGGCTCCTTCAGGAGGATGCACTGAAAGAACAGAGTGATAAGGGATGAGTCATGAGAGCAGCAATACCAAGGGAATGAGGGAGAGTTATTTCTGGAAAAGAAACATTGCTGGTAGTCTTGGGTGATTGACAGGCCAAGGCAGAGAACAAATACATATTGATTCTGATCATCATAGAGTTAGGCTGCAGGAGGTGTTAGAATGTTTTTAGTGATGTTTAAGGAGTGGAAACAGGATGATGTAGACTATAGGACTAGAGTCCATGGATGAGTTCTTCAGGCTACAGTTTTTACTGTCACTGAAGGTTTTAACAGTGCTCATTAAGATGTGAGTAGTAGTATAACTACAGCTATTGTG